CTAAATAACCTACACATCCGTGCTGAATATACTGCCGAGCCCTGGCGGCCGAACAAAACCCTGATCCTACTCTAGTGCCCTCACCATATACCACCAGTTCTCCCCCACTTGGGGTTCGAACTACTACTCGCTGTCCCTCACAGTCGATCATGGCGCCAAACTGGCTGAGCCAATCCATCCCTACGATCACACATACTTCCCCTATGGGAATAGGAATCAAATCCATCGGGAATGATACCCCGAAAATCTCCAGCTCGCATCCCTGGAAAACCAACAAAGCAGAAATCCCGTGCTCGTTGGCGATCGAAACACGCAACGGACACTCAAGCTCATCTACCGACACACTGAACTCTCTACTGAAAGTCCAAGATACAAACGACCGACTCGCCCCCGAGTCGAATAAAACCAAAGGAGGCAAGGAGTTTACTAAAAACGTACCTAAACACAGGTACCACCGATAAGCATAACACAGATACAATAACTGAACCAGAAAATAGAAACATACCAGCAACCACAACCGGTGCTGCCATGGCCTCCTCGGCCGTGAGCTGGAAGGTGCGCCCCTGAGCCTTCGGAGGCTCCACCTTGACTGGCCTCCCATCTCCCATCCTCAAAGTAGCCGGTACGGATCCCTACACCAGCTTGGCGGCGAGCTGCGGGCAGTTGGTCTTCACGTGGCCAACCTGATGACAATGATAACAAATCCTCATATCTGCTGGAGGGGCGGACTGGCGACAGTCGCTGGCATAATGCCCATCCTTGCCACATTTGTGGAAACCACCTCCTGCTCGACAAATCCCAGAATGACCCCTGCCACACTTTCCACAAGTGCGGCTCTGCTGACCCCCGGTCCGAGTATTAACGGTCTTGGACCGCTTAGGTACCGGCTGAGACTGTGCGGGAACCTGACGCTGCTCCTTCAATTGCAACTCTATCTCCAACTCGCGCAGCCTCGCGGCTTCCTGAAGATCCAAAAGAGTCTCACAACGTTGCGTAGTTCCAAACTGTCGAATATCAGTCTTGAGCATACTCAGATAACGAGCCATCTGAGACTGCTTTGAAGCAAACTCCGGGCAGAACATAGCCCTCTCCGTGAACATACGGGTGATCTCCATCACTGACTCCCCATCCTGTCTCATTGTCAAAAACTCCTGAGCAAGCCGCTCCCGCTCAACGCGTGGAACGTAGCGGGTGTGGAACATATCCCGGAACTGCTCCCAAGTATCAGAAGCTCGCTGATCATCAGTGTACAACCCTGTCGTCAATCTCCACCAGTCCTTTGCCCCAAGCCTCAGCAGGTTCAGGGCACACCTGACCTTCTGGTCAGAAGGACATGAACACGTGAAGAAACATCCCTCCACGTCAGATAACCACCTCATAGCCCTGATCGCATCCTGTGTACCATCAAACGTCGGGGGCTTCGTGTTATCAAAGTCCCGGTACTGGAAAGCCCTGCCGGCTCCTCCTCCAACCCCTGCCGCAGTTACAGCCGATGTGGATGCAGCGACAGCTGTCTCCGCTAGCGCTGCATATCGCTCATCAAAGTACTCAACCATCGCGGTCTTAATCGACCCAAACATCTCTGGCAGCTGCGCTCGGAATTCACTCAAACCAAGGCTTGATTTGAGACTGGGTTCACACGTGTGTTTCCCCCAATTCACTCAAATCAAGGCTCTGATACCAACTTGTAACATCCAAAAATTTTACGCCAAATTTAAACTTTTTCAATCATAAATAAAACCAAATAGTAATTGTTTACAAAATGTTTTCAATCATTATTCATAAGAGTGTCCCAATAACCAGATCATAAGGATGAGGAGCGGTACGGTCACGCCTTCGCCTTGCCATGATCTCCTGAAGTACCTGAAACAATAAACTGAAAACTGTAAGCCCGAGGGCTTAGTGAGCTACCCCCAATATACCAATACCCCACTGATAATACCATATCAGTAACAGACAATCAACAACATGCATACTGGGCCATCGGCCTGACTGGACCGCCCTACAGGGTCACGTTCAGACAATGGCAACTGGAACGCGCAAAAGGCCAAGAATCAAAATCCCAAGGGCAAGAAGGGAATACCGGCCAAGAAGCCTAATCCAAGAGATGCTCCCGCGAAGCCAAAATCAAAGTCATCTCAACGGACAACATCAAGTTCAAAAGCAAGTGCCGAGGCACCCATCCGCTCGAAAAAGAAATGGGTTAAACCCAACTACAGATGGGTTTCGAAGGTTCACTCTCCCAAATCACCAAATGATTCTAATATTTCTACATCTTCTGTTTGTGATAGATAGGATATGTCATGGGAGACAGTACCATGCATTGATGACAAAGGTCAACCCAGTTTCAAAATGGACTGGGTTCCAAAGACCAACTGATCCCGCTCTGTGTCGGAGCAGCTATGGAGGCATATCATCAGACTTCGGTTTGTTGGTAGTGGCTGTTCCTGGCACATGATAGGAGGCATCTCTCAACTGTACAACACTCAGAACTTTGTTTGAGAATATGTGTCCTTTGCGATAAAGGAAGAAAGGAGGGGATCACTCATAGGGTTTGTGCTTAACGATGTGAAGAATTTTCGGATCTGTTCTGAGATTATGCGTGCTGTTCTCAGACCTTCTGGATGCAAATTCAATCGGTGACTTACGGTTTTAGTTTTCTTCTCTATACTCCTGAGCTTATCTTAAACTGATTCATTTTAAAGACAATTTTTTATTTCCTTATATGTCTTTCTTTAGTAGGTTGTTTTGGGAAGTGATATGAAGTATAGTGCTAAAGGGCAATTTATAATGCGTGTAATGCACTAAAGCCGAATTGTCTAGACTCTGTATTCAATGTGCTGGTAGGCACAAAGGATTCAAAAAGAACTAGACATTGATTGACCATGAAAGGACTAGACAATATAGACTTAGATAGTTTCATTTGGACTGACCATACGACGCTCGGGTAGATTGAGCAATGAGATAAACATGGGAACCTGCGAGATACACTAAAAGTTAATTATCTAGAACTGTGGCTCAATATTTCCTTGATGTCTGGACTCATGTCCTTAATTCCGGTATTGATAGGGCAACTGGGGGGTTCTGATAAAGTAGGTTTGTAGGAAATTATTTTCTTGCTTTCCATCTGTCAGTCATATGTTGCTTCCTCTGCGTGATTGGAAGAGATCCGACCTGGATTGCAACATATGCAACTCTATTTCTCTGCATTTTCTATCTTTGCAATTCTTTCTACCTGTTAGCCATATACTGTCTCCTTTGCGTGACTTACAACTCGACCTGGTACACAACATATGCAATCTTCTTATTAATCCCTCTAAACTCTAGTTATTCATATGTTGTTCCCTCAGTGTGATTGGAAGACATCCAACCTGGGATACAACGTATGCACTTCTATATATCTGACTTCTTTCTTAATGATTGAATACTCACCTAAAGTAAGGAGTTCTTTGGAAGATCTTGATTACCGGGGTATATCGGGAAGTGGGAAACATGTTCTAGTACATCTAAAATTGACCATTTAATAGGTTGTCTGTAGATCTTGCTGCTTAATTTAAGTGGACAACAATATCCTTGGTCGTCGTCAGCTAAATGTCCATTTAGGAATATATATCACAATGACTTGTCACTTATAATCTGTCCAAAATGTCAACATCCTTTGTGTTTAAGTGGACCACAATACCAGTGATTGACCAGATCTAGACATGCAGGTGTGTGCTGATAAACGATATTAGATTGCTTGACAACTTTGATCCTAAATATTTTTGTTTTTGTTAAATTTGTTTATAGTTTTCCTCTATGCACAAATTTAGGGGGAGAATTAAAAATATCAAAAATCAAACAAAAATCAGAAAATTCAAAAATCAAACAAAATCAAAAAATTAAAAATCCAAAAATAGTGTTATTTCTGTTTTTATTTTTTGTTCAGAAAATCAAAAATCCAAAAATATTTTTGTTTCTGTTTTTATTTTTCCAGAAAATATGAAAAATCCAAAAATATTGTGTGCTAAGTTTTCTTTTAGTTTTTTTGTTTTGTCTTGAAAAGTGAATTCAGATGTAGATGAGACTCATGGAGACTGAATCAAAAATTTCTGAGCCAAGGCTTCATCCGTGAGCATCGAAGAATTCTCATTCGAAGGAGCAAGAAATGAAGATTATCCTTTCAACATTCAATCCTTCAACCCCAGAAGCAAGGTCAAGCTGTTATTGAAGATTATGTGACAGATTGCATTGAAGCCTCCTTAATCAATTTGCTGCTATCTTGTACATGCTGAAGTGATCCAGAAGATTAGTTCTCTCCGATAGTCTCTCTGAAGATTCTCATGCTGAAAGCGCCATCTTTGAAGAATCAGTACATCAAGCTTCCTCACCCAACATGCGTTCAATGCCAAATTCTAAAGAAAAGCCCAACTGCTCAAGATGAAGTCATTCATAGAAGATTCATATGTTCATCTTGATTCTGTGAAGAAAATTGAAGATTAATGCTGAAGCCAAGCTCCCGATGAATATTAACAAGAAAAGCCAGCTACTTTTTAGGGGGAGTTTGTTGGGTCAGTTAGAAAAGAAAGCTATAAACCAAGGGGGAGATTGTTGGGTCTAAAATATTGGTTTATACTTTACTTTTCTAGGAAAATGTAATTTTGTGTCTTGGACCGTAAACAGCTTGGTGTTTACGGCCGTATACGTGTTTACGGTTGTGAACAGGTTTACAGCCGTGAACCTGTTCACGGCCCATGTCTCATATATATATGGTGAGGAGTGCATGTGGGTACATAATAATAGCTGAGAGGAGCTTAAGTGTGTGTATTCTAAGGTGTGAGAGAAGAGCTAGTGTGTGAACTATGTGTATGGAACATCATTCTATTCATTGAATACATCATAGATTCAAGTTATTCTTCTTCTCCTTCTTCTTCTTTTGATCTGGCATCATCCGTTTGATTGGGATTCCGCACCATCAAACGGATCTGATTGATACACAAGCAGATTGAGGACTTACATTTATGCATGTCTTGCTTCAATCGGAGAGGCAAGTTGAACGTCCTTCTGTGGCAAACATAGCAAATATGTATAGTGATATAAAAAAAGGCGTCATTGAGGTAGTACCTTATTACTATGAAATATCAATTCTTATAGTAAATATGTAATTAATTATATCTATATTTCATTTATGAAGGGTACACAGTACACTGTTGTTGGAACCATCATTGACATAGATATGTTTAATGATTGGAAGTTCATCCAGTGTTCTAGATGCTATAAGAATGCTACTTTCGTTGATAATCGCTACTTTTGTTCTGGCTGTCAGAAAATTATAGTTAACCCGCGTCAAGTGTATGCATATATATATATATATATATATATATATATATATTACTTATATGATGTTTCTAATAACTTTTGTATAGGTTTAAGTTGGTAGTTGAAGTAGCTGATAAGGATAAGGAGATGAGATGTGTTTTCTTTAATGAATATGCTACTCAACTTACTGGCCTTACTATTGGTGAATTAGTTAATATGAATTTATTGGAGGTACTGTTCTATACACACACACACATACACACACACACACACATATATATATATATATATATATATATATATATATAATATATATATAGATATATATATATATATATATATATATGAAACACCCCACACCAAATGCTTACATATAATACTAGTTTATTATGTTTTTATAGGGTGGTAATGATCCTAATTGGGTACGCACTTTCCTATTTGAAAGGTTATGTGGTCTAAGTATTGTTTTTTCAATTAAGATTGACCATTACAATTTGGCGCCACAATATGTGCGTCATTTCACGGTTACTAAATACCATGGTGCAAATTTTAAAATTGCAAACCAAGAAAAGACGTCGCCTACAAATGAGGTCATTTGTCAGCTGCAAAAAACTGTTGTCGAATCATTGTTTTCTACATCATCTGTATCAACGGTAAAGTTTATTGGATCTTACTATATACATTTTTTATTGTATTGCTTATATCTTATTTTACATTATGTATTTTTTTTGTTTTTGTATTTATTTTTTGTTTGCTTATCAAGGAGTTTGTGTTTTTGATAAGTGTAATTCTCAGGTAAATAATCTTAAATTTAGAAATTATGCTACGGATCATGTTTCGTTTCATTAAATGATTTTTACTACATATTTTCTTAATTTATCTTTATTTAATATGTTCATTATTCATATATTTTTTTCGTATTAGGATGACTTACATAATGTCAAAGATGAGGGTTTTAGTGCTTCTATGTCAGAAGTAAATCATACGGAATATAAAGATGTAAGTTATAATATTTTGTTTTGCAATTTTAAATCTGTTACATAATGAAAATCTTCAATTGTTACTTTGTTATTGTTTTCTTCGTGTGCATACTTAGGATGATGTTGGTTTGTTTTCCATTAAAACAAATGTTATTGAATCAGTATCACCTAAATCAGCAACATCAACATTAACGGTACTTTTTATTGTATTTTTTACTATAAATTATAAATATAAGTTATATTTGTTAGATCTTATGTTTCTTTATTTATTTCACTTGCACAATTATTAGGTCATTTGTGATAATCATCAGGTTGATGTTTCTGACAAGCTCATTTATAAGGTAAATAATATTGAGTTCAATAATTAATTCATACCATGTTTTCTTTCCATTCAGTTTAAATTGGTGTATATTTAGTTCAATTACATTAGTTGTTATGCTTATTAGTCATCTTTTCTTTTCTCTTACTAGGACGGTTCTGGTAATATGAAAGATGATGCTATTGTGGCACCTATGTATGAGGTTATACATGAGAAATATATTTTATAATGTAAGTTGTAACATATGTTTTGTCATATGGTTGTACTTATGTTATTTTCTTATAATTAGGTTGCTTCTAATAGTAATGAAAATGATAGTGTTACAAAATGTGTATCGGAGGAAAAAGATGTCGAAGATAGTGACAATGTATTATTAATTCTTTTTTACTATTGTTGTATAATTTTTTAGGTTTGAAGTTTTCTTATTGTTCTTATTGATCTATTCAATTAGGTTGGTGACGATACTATTCAAGATGATATTTCTAAGACACCTATCTCCATATGTGGTTTACAAGATGGTGGAGAAAGTGAAGTAAGTGACAACATATTGTGTACAGTTTCTATTTTCCTTATGATATGGAACAGAATTTCAACGATTATTTTCACCTCATTTGATATATTTGAAGTTTTCTTATTGTTCTCATTGATCTATTCAATTAGGTTGGTGATGATACTATTGAAGATGATATGTCTAAGACACCTATCTCCATATGTGGTTTACAAGATGGTGGAGAAAGTTAAGTAAGTTACAATGTATTGTGTACAAAATTTCAACGATTATTGACACCTCATTTGATACATTACTTTGTTAGTTATGATTCTTATTTTCCTTTTTTTTTACAATTAGGATGCTTGTGCTGTTATTGAAGTAGATTCTTCTGAAAAATCGTTTATCGGATCCTCAATAACACCAATGAAGCGTCGACTTCCACGATTGTGTGAAGAGTCTTTGGAAGATGATATTGTTTGTTGAATTCAATTTACTTTTGAAGTTTTTTGACATTGTTTTCTAGATTGTATTTCTCTTTCAATTTTCAAATTTCAGTTTTCATATCATCGTAGTCCTCAGTTTTTTTATAGGTTAATTGAAATTATTAGGTAGATTAATCTTTTTATAATAGGTTTTAGACATATTTATTATTCAATTATTTTAAATGTATGGAATGACATGGTACATTCATGTTTTTTTTGTCCTTATGACGAAACACATTATTGTTGGGTACCATATGCCAAATGATTTTACTAGGTTTTTCCAAAAGATCTTACTTGGTTTGTCGTTGTGGGTGATCCACACTTTCAATCAGATTTTGAACCTATTAAAATTCTTAATAGATTAAGCACTTAGTCATGAAAGTTGTTTGTTCGAAATAATAGCATTGTACTTATTTTCAATAAAAATTATGTTACTTTTTCTTATTTAAGCATTGTACTTTCAAATATAGCATCATATTTTAATTTTTAATTGTTATTTTCAAAAAAAATTATGTTATTTTCTTATTTAAGCATTGTACTTTCAAATATAGCATCATACTTTAATTTTAAATTCATATTTAAAAAAATATATGCTTTTTTTCTTATTAAACCATTGTACTTTCAAAGTACAATGGTTAAATAAGAAAATAAAACAACAAATTAAAAAAATGAAGATTTAGAAATGAATGTTAAATATATTATTAGACAAACAAAAAAAAGTAGATTTTACAAATCACCATTTAAAATTATAACAGATTCCTAATTCGTTTTAATGATTTTGGACCATTTTACCCCTCATACGTCATTTATGATTTTGGACCATTTTACCCCTCATCTCCTCATTTTGATTGAAATGCTTATCTGTTGCCAAAGAAAATATGAATAAGAAAAAAACATAATTTTTTTTGAAAATATGATGCTATATTTAAAAATACAATGCTTAAATAGTTAATTGTTTTACCTTTATTTAAAATACAGATGTGATACATTGGTTTATAAAAGTACTTGCATATCTAATAAAAGTAGCTTTGTAGGGTTTGTTAGCAAAACTCGTGTTTTTCATTGGCACTAATTTTTTCACTCCTACATGCTAATCGTTTGTTTTTTTAAAATTATTTATAATATTTGAGTACAAAATTATTGTTGAACTTGCAATTCCATGTGAGAAACCAGGTTTACGAGTGTTTGAAGGATTCACAGTGGGTTTTCATCCAAGATCATGGGAAATTGTGAGAATTTATATTATATTTTATAAATCATGATTAATTTGAAGTTATGTTGTGAGAATTTATATTATATTTCAGGTAAGGAGACGTACTTCCATTTTTTGGTTCTTTAAATTAAAGTTTTGTTAGAAAAGTACTATTTTACCATTTGTTTACTTTATTGCGGCTTTGATACAAACTAGAGTGATGTACCACTCTATATGACAGCAATTGCATCCCTTTCACATTAAGTAAAAAAACTATTTTAATTTTTAATTTTTTTCAATTGGATTCTATTTTAATTTAATTTTTTAATTGTTTGTAATTTTTAAGGTTTCTCCAAAGACCGGTTTGGATGTTAATTTGTCTGGTTCAGGGGCAACCGGGTTGTCTTCAACATTATTGAACATTTATTGGAGATGTACAATTATTTTATATATCTATTATTCTATATTTCATCATGACTTGATTTTTAATAAAATTTATAAAATTTCAGGTGAAACCAGTGAGAATCCGTAAAAGCAAAATACATGTATTATTTTTGTACAATTATAACATATTCCTAATTTGTTTTAGTGATTTAGGACCATTTTACCCCTCCTGCATCATCTATGATTTTGGATCATTTTACTCCTCCTCCCCCCAATTGTATTGAAATGTTTATCTGTTGCCAAAGAAAATATGAATAAGAAAAAAACATAATTTTTTTGAAAATATGATGCTATATTCGAAAGTACAATGCTTAAATAGTTAATTCTTTTACCTTTATTTAAAATACAGATGTGCTACATTGGTTTATAAAAGTACTTATATAACCGATTCATTCTTACCCTTCTCATCCAAATGCAATAAGAAAATAAAAACAAAGGATTTATACCCCCTGCCAAATTAACTAGACAAACAAAAAAAGTACATTTTATTTTATTAGTTCTTGATTTATCTTTAATAACCCATGCTCTTATTACCATAATCAACAATGTTCTTTAAAAAGAAAAAATATATGTATTACTTTTTTACAATTATAATAAATTCCTAATTGATTTTAATGCTTTTGGACCATTTTACCCCTCCTGCATCATTTTTTATTTTGGACCATTTTACACCTCCCCCCATTTGTATTGAAATGTTTTCGTGTTGTTGTATCTTGTTTGATCCACACTTTCAATAATATTTTGAACCCATTAAAATGCTTAATAGATTAAGCACTTAGTGATGAAAGTTGTCTGATGCACACTTTCAATCATATTTTGTCAACCTGTCCACCGGACGGGTATGACACTAGTTATGATTGTGCCGGAGAAACATGTGGTAGGTGGTGGCGTGTGGTAGTTGGTGGTGGTAGAGTTTAAGTTTGACTTCTTTGAATATGTGAATTAGTGTATAATGGACTATATTATGTTGTTATTTTATGTATTAAACTAAAAATTGACTCTATTAAATTGAATATTTTATATCAATTTTGTGTGAAAATATGGATGATTGTATACATGAAAATATTAAAATATGTATTATTGAATTAATATGTTTATTAAACTGTGAATATGGTACTTTAAACTGTGAATATGCCTTACAAATGATATACATATTTTTTTAATATAAATATATAATTTTGAAGAGAGAAAAATGAATTTGTCATGGCGTAATTCTATTTTTCTATTAAGTATTGTATATTTGGTTGCAAAAATGAAATGATATGCGTCAAATAGTATTACCAAAGAAAATTGAAGCTACAATATTTTTTCTATTAAACTGTGAATACGATCAAAAATATGCTACGAAATTTTTGTATTAGTCCAACGACGGTCCGACGGTGGTTCAACAACAGTTCGAAGACAAGTAGCAACAAGTTGTAAACTAGAGAATAGAAAAAATTTGTTTAATATAATATTAATGTCCGATTTGTCTGAAATGTTCTTAATGAAAACATTTAAAAAATGTTTCTTAGGGTTTTTAACCTTTTTGGATTCTCATTTGAACAACTCCATATATATATATATATATATATATATATATATATATATATATATATATATATATATATATATATATATATATATATATATATATATATATAAAGAGTTTTTAACTATCACTACTAGAAAACAATGGATAGCTACGACACAATCCGTAGGTATTCAGTAGGCATAAGGCGATACCTACGGATTTGCTACGGAAAATGCCCTATAGCATCAATGCCCGTGGGAAATTTATACATACATATTTGCTACGGACTAGCTACGGAATAGCTACGACTAATTCCGTAGGTATAATACCTACAGATTAGCTACGAATACGAATTGCTACGGAATACCTACGGATTGCCGACAGAACTGTTTTCCTATAGAATAGCTACGGAATCACATGGCTACAGATTTCCTACGGATTACCTACGTAAGTCGAGTTTGACCAAAATTGACTTTTTTCCTACGGAATAGTTACAGAATTGTTTACCTACGGATTTCCTACGAATTAATGAGAAAATTCAAGTTTGACTAAATTTGACTTTCTTCCTACGGAATACCTACGGACCTATTTAGCGACGAATTTCCGTAGCTAGTCCGTAGCTAATTTCATTTTATCAAAAAATAAAATTTTAAAAATTTAAAATTTTCCATTTTTTTATCAAATACCATATATCAATTTAATTTGTACAATATACACCAAAAAAATGTCCCTAATATCAAGTTTGACATATTCCATTCCATTGTCTCAAAATACCATTCAAATGTCTCAAGTACTATACAAATTAAGCATAACAAAACAAGCACAATACAAGTGTTTACAAATTCAATTGTTCCAAAATACATATCAATTGTCCTTGGGTGGATTATCGGCGGGACCATGGGGTTGATTTCCAGACATATTTATCATCCTTATAACAATTTCCATCTGTTCTTCCATTTCTTGTTGTTGCTATTCCATGATAGAAACTTGCGCACGCAGCCTATCAACCTAAAAAATGGTAACGCAATTCAATACTTAAACAATAATAGCAATGTACTTTAGTTTATTATAACAATTCATTTTAGTTTATAATTATAGCAATACACTTAACTTTTAAACCATAATAGCAACGTACCTTTGTTTATTATCATTTTAATCAATATTATCACCAAACTACCTAACTTTTAACCATAATATCAACGTATATTTATTTCTTATCAATTTAATCAATATTATCAACAAACTACATAAATTTTAACCATAATAGCAATGTACTTTTGTTTATTATCAATTTAATCAATATTATCACCAAACTACCTAACTTTTAACCATTATAGCAACATACTTTTGTTTCTTATCGATTTAATCAATATTATCAACAAACTACCTAACTTTTAACCATTATAGCAACGTACTTTTGTTTATTATCAATTTAATCAATATTATCAACAAACTACATAACTTTTAAGCATAATAGCAACATACTTTTGTTTATTATCAATTTAATCAATATTATCACCAAACTACATAACTTTTAACCATAATAGCAACATACTTTTGTTTATTATTAATTTAACCAATATTATCAACAAACTACCTAACTTTTAACCATTATAGCAATGTACTTTTGTTTATTATCAATTTAATCAATATTATCAACATACCTCTTGTTGCGTGTTGTCCGACTGGGTGGATCGGGTGGATTGGCAAGATGGTGTCTCCGGAACCAAAAAACGTATATCTGATGCTCCTATTCCATAGGCAGCACCCTTCTTCTTTCCTTTTCTTCTAAGTTGTCTTTCCTCCCATACATCTACATCATCCTTATGGTTTGCAGGATCTTCACCATATTTGTTGACCAACCCCTGCAGATACGCCTCCTACAAATTACCAAAACAACACGATTGTCATATACGAAAAATGACACAACAAATATACATAAATGATAAAGATACGTTACTTGTGCTTCTTTGGCCGTCTGTGAGCAATATTCGAGATTTTCATGATTTCCCTCAAAATATCTTTTCTTCGACTCAGCAGTGCCATGCGTCTTCATGAAAACATCATAATGTGTAGGTGGTTTACCCATCAATTTTTCCTACATAAAAAGTCAAAGTACAATTAATGTAGTTAGTGTTATAACAAAATAAGAATAATAAAATTTATAATTGTGATACTTACTAAGGTTCCTACGGTGCTGGTCAAATCCTATACTACCCGCAGTGTGTCTTGCTGTTGACCTATTAGACTCTGTGGTGTTGCGGTTCTGTTGAGTGATTTTTAAATTCTTTTTCCACTTATCTGTGGACCAATACTTTGAAAAGAAAAAAAAATATAAGTATAATAATATAATAAGAAATCAAAAACTCAAAAAAAATATAATGTATCGTATCAGTTACATCACACAAACGTTTCCACACAGTCTCTGGTACGCTTTTCGAGGCGGTAGTTATGCATCCCATCATAGTAGCTACAAAACTTTGGGGGGGAGGGGTTTCCCATCTTTTCATGCCATGTTGGCAGATTGTGCCCTGATTCCTTTCATCCTATCTCTATATCTATCCTTGAGGACACACTTGAATGCATCAAATATGTTCTCATTCTCTTGTGAATGCCACCTGTACTTGGTCTGTAAAAAATAAAAAGTAAATTTAAAAATACAAACTAAAAACAAATGAGTATAAGATACAATAATAAGTATTTAATATATTACCCCGAAACGCGTAAGAGCCTCAATTGGAGTATCACTGAACTGGGCACACAGACGATTCAAATTCTCCCAAAAGAGACGAATACATGCACTGTGGATTTTTTGATCCACAAACCTACAGTATTGAAAAAACTATATAAGTATAATTATAACATCAAAAAATTAAGTTTTAAATGATGAAAACACTAACTTTTCCCCATCTCGACTGATGAGGGGCAACGACGAGGCGTGAAAATCACTCGCATTCGAGCCGTGACCTCCTGAAATACCTCTAGAGGCGGAGCCATGCGGTGTCAATGGCGTGTTCAGTGCCATCAGTGTGTGTGGGGTATGTGGTGACCGAAAGGTTGCCTCTGCATATGCACCCTCAAAACAGTAATCATAAAATCCATCATTACCACCTGTCCTCAAAAACATTTGTGGGGACTGGGACCTATAATCCGTCTGTAGGAGCTGAGGCCTATAATCCGTCTGTGGGAGCTGGGGCATATGAACCATCTCTCGAGACTGACGGCGAAGAATCCCGTCCAAGTCTGGTAGAGGATCAACCATGTCGGTTTGTTGACTAATAGCACCCTGAATGTTGGAGCCTGCGACTCCTGTCACTATCGGCATATCGATCGGTATGAGCGACGTCCTATAACGTGGATCATCGATAGAATTAGGGGATGCCCCCTATGCCTCGCACTACCAGAAAAAGAGTTGTTACTGCGGCCTTTATCCTTGCGTCCATTACCCGACATGCTGCTTTTAATAGAACAAGAATGGTCAGATATATAAATATAAGATTAATAAGTCATGACAAAAGAAATGTTTAAAAGAACAAGATGTCCAAACCAAAATCATTACAAAAACAACATTTAATTTTAAGGTTTTAAAAAAAGACAATGCTCTTAACATCAACAAATAGAATACTCTTATCATCAACAAAAGACAATGCTCCTAACATCTGTCCTCATCATCTTCGTGTTCAAGTTCTTCTTCTGAATAATACAACTCGTTTTCAACATCTTTGTCTTCAAAATTTTCCACTTCTTTATCTTCCTCCCCAATTCTCTCATTCTCATCATCAGATATTTGCTCATACGTATTTGTAGTTGAGGCCAGCCACAGTCGTTCTGCACGAGTTACAGTAAGGGGTGACTCAAACTGTTCTTCATCCTGAAAGATTTCATCTGCTTCCACTTCAGCTTCGGTAACTTCAAATACCCCTATTGGTTTTGTCTTGATAACCACCCACTTATCTTTTGTCTCCCTTTTAATTGAAGGGTATGGTGTATAAAACACTTGTTCTGCTTGTGATACCAAACAAAAAGGGTCGCCAGTTTGAAGTCGAGAGTTGGGTTTGACATCAATCAACTTGTTTTTTTTTACTATTACACCGTCTTTGTTATCAAACCAAATACAATTTAACAGTACAATAGTCGAGGGTCCTCTACTATAATACTTAATCTCTAAGATCTCTTGCACTATACCGTAGTAGTCTGACTCTTGTTCAGCATTATACGTCTCCCCTCTCACACATACTCCAAAGTTATTCGTCACACGACCCTCACTGTATTGTTGAGTTTGGAACTTATAACCATTTACAAAATACCCATTATGGTAATGAGCATGTGTCGATGGTTTGTTAGCTATAACTTTGAAGTGTCTAGCACTTCTATCAGGTGTCTTATACATTACCTTGTCCTCAAACCATTCAGCAAAGTATTTGTCTCTTAAATCTGAAACTGATTCATTTGGATTCGTTTTCATGACCAGTTCATCAAACTCCATGATGTAAGGTTAACTTCTTTACAGTTAAGTAATATGTAGGTGTGCGCCGTGTGAAGATCTTTATCGGTCAAAGCTTGTCGTTTTCCACTTTTTCCATATAATCTTCTTGACGGGACAACAAATATGCTAATCTTCTTGGGGTGCAAAATTTCATGCTTCTCGATTATGGTGTATCTCAATCGTCGGGTCAAAATATAACGAACAATAGGTAGCGAGTTCATTCATTAGATGTTCGTTGACTATTGAACCCTCAACCCTTGCTTTATTCCTTATTCTTTTTTTAATTATGCCCAGTTTCCTATATTTAGAAAGTATGGACGATGTGTAAGGAATACCACAAATAAATGTATGACTAGGTGCTCCATTGAATCATAGAAGCCCAGAGGGTATATTTGCTCCAACTTGCACATAGTCTGAATAATATTGCGTTTCATATTGAACATGTCTTGAAAATGCAACGTTGTCGAGCATAATACTCGAAAGTACATAGATATCTCCGATACGACCTCGTATATATTTGTTGGAACAAACCCTCTTAAAGCTAGGGGAAGCAACCGTTGCATAAACACATGACAGTCATGGCTTTTGAAACCATAGAAACTGTAATCTTTGATGTGTACGCAGTTCCCTATATTTGATGCATACCCGTCAGGAAATTTAAGATTTTTCAACCAATCACATACTTTTTTAACTTGGTCCTTTTTCAATGTGTAATCTCCATGATTCTTCCTAGCCTTCCTGTTGTTGCCCCTGATAGGGTTTACTATAGGCCGATCACATAGCATCTGAATATACTCTCTTGCCTTTATACTGTCTTTGGACTTTGGGGTGCCCATCGAAGTCTGAAACATATTTTCAAAAAAATTCCTCTGAATATGCATCAAATCAAGGTTGTGTCGGATCAACAGGTGATGCAAATATGGAAGTAATGAGAATTAAATTCTCTATGATCGTTTAGATTCGTAACAGATTTACACAAACACAATAAAAGCAAAGAACACACGATGAATCAAACAAGAGCTGAATGATTAATATGCTCCACCTCAGAAGAGTTCGATAAAGAACATCGACTGTAGAGGTGTGCTAGGGTTACAATACAATGAAAGGAATAATGATTATCAAGCGTACAGAGAACGATGCATGCATGCATCTTATATACTAAACCCTAATGACATAAACACGGCTGGACATGCCCAAATCGTGATAACAATGGACCTAGGTAACAGGCCCAATGACGCAACTCCTAGACTCAACAATCTCCCCCTTTGCGTCAATTGAGGCGAGAGATCATTTCGGTTGAGTGAGAGTAGATTTGTTCACAGTCTTGAATAGCTTTGGTATGATGGCGAGAAGAGTTTGACGGAAGTCAATATACCACTGAAGCATATCCGAAATTTTTTTCTTATCAGCTACACTGTTTTGCCTACACCTGTGAATGATGTCAAGAATGTGCTCCAGACAAGAAGTGGAGAACAGGTGTTTATCATCAAGAGCAAACAATCACTTTTGGCCTTCGGCTCTGGTGAACATGACTGTGTGATACTTCGGATCAATCCTTCCCATCTGCATCTTGTTAACATCGCTTGCCTTCCCAATTGGTCTGATTGTAGGCTTCTTCCTTAAGGCAGAGGGGATCTCTTGATCCATCTTGGCAACCTCATGAATGTAAGAAACTAACATTCGCTTGATGTGATCGATGATAGGCTCGTACTGCTATTGATCAGTTAGAAAAAGGTTGTTCAAGAGGATCCAGTCGTGTGGGTTTAAGTTTGGCAGATCATCAAGAGAGATCATATGAACCGAGTTGTCAGAGCCTCGGGTCACTTTGAACTTCACATTTATAAAATTTCCCGTTGGAGTTGGTTTCAATACCTTGACCGTTGTGAACTTTAATGCGCTCCAGGTCAAGTATTGAGGTTGAGAGAATGCGAGATAGTAATCAGTTAATTCTCGGTCAACCTTCGGCTCAGGAGAAGGAACACCGGCGATTGGCTCAAAGCAATGAAACACAAATGCCTTTCGGGTGATAGGCATGTCGAACTGAGAGTCTCTCAAATTCTCACGATCAAACGAGATGACCGGTTCAAGCCAATGAGTGCTAGGAGACTCGATTGCTTCTTTTAAGAGTCTCTCTAACGACCACAAAGGAAATAGAGTTTTTCTACTTTCCAATGTGTTGTGAGCTTCTTTTCTTTTTCTTTCCCTCTCTTCTTCTTCTTCTCTTATGATGCAAAGATTTTCATCAAGCTCTCGGTCACGTTGCTTTCTTTTGAGAGCATCTTCTTCGGTTTCTTCCTCATCACTATCACCGATTATCTTTTTGTTTTTGTCCTTCACACTAGAACCCGAAGCTTCATTACCTTTCGGTTCAGTGGTGACTTTCGGTTGTGAAGAGATTTGAATAGATTTGCTTGTTGGAGGTTGTGGGGGTTGACACTGACTTGCTTCTCCCCCTTGTTTCGGAGAGACACCAGTCTCCAAAACACCTTCTATACCGCTCAACATGTCAAGAGCAGGTCTCAACTTCTCAGCTAAGTGCTGTCGAACAGTGAGAGTAAGAACCGAATCATGTGCCTCTAGGAGATTGGACAAAAGAGAGTGCACATCACCAACACAACTTTTGATAACTGCTCTCTCAGACTTGAGATCATCAATTTCCTTGGTCACCTGAGTGAGCTTCAAGGTATGAGTTTTGAGCTGAGCAGTGCAATGATCCAGTTCATCCATGATTTTGTTTTCCAAAGCTATCTCGGTCTGGAGTTGATCAAGACGAGACTTGACTGAAGATACGAACTCTGCATTATCAGTTTTAATCCCCGTTCTAATGCTTTCAAAATGATTTTACTCAGCTTGAAGCGATTTGCTGAGATTCTTAACAGTGGCATTAACAGTTGCAGCATTTTTTTCAGCAGCCGCTTGAAGAGAATCTAGAAAGATATTAGCATGAGAAATTAGTTTTTCAATGTTTTCAGTCGCTTTCTTGCATTCCTTTGTTGATTCTTCAACAACAATGGTTGCTTTCTGGCAAGAGGAGATGGAAGCTTCAATAGCTTTGGTAGCTTTGGAAATAGATGAGTCATGCTCCTTGACAAAAGTTGCCAACAAAGCTTTGATAGCAGCCTCTGAGTAAGTTTCGCTTGGAGTGGAAGATGAAGAGGAAATCAGCTTGTCAAGTTTCTCGTTAAGATCATTTAGATGTTGTTTTGTTACAGGAGCATCATCATCATCATCATTGCTTTGAACTCTGTAGGGGCTATAGTAGAAAGAATCAAAGTCAGCATCCTCCCCACCGAGAACGGTGTCAGATTCGTTTGAGATAGGTGGAGATAGAGGTTTAGAGGTAATCGGGGTTTCAGTCCCTGAAGTAGGTGCTCCCGTATCAGATACGTTGACACGAACTTGAGGTTCGGTTGTAGTAGTGGTGGTGGTGGTAATTTTGGTGAATAAGGGGGTTGGTATTGGTATAGAAGTTGCAGTTGAAGAATAGATTGGAGGAGGGCATGGAGCAATTGTGATAGGGACATAGCGAATAGGAGAGGAAGGAGGTGTGTTTCGGTTACCATGATGAGCCGGTGAAGTTGGAGGCGTATTTACTCGGAGCGAACTCTCATCTTGAGAATGTTCACTATCGCTTGACTCTTGTTCGGGTTGTTGGTCAGAGGGAACATAGTCTGAATCACTTGATGACTGAGCCTTTGGCTTGGGCGCCTTCTTCTTGATCTTTCGCTTCTTAGAAGCGGAAGGAGCTGCTTGTTCTGACTTTCGCTTTTTAGGCGTACCAGCTTTAGATGAAGGTCCTTCGTTCTCGCTTTTTCATTGATCAGCCTTCTTCCCTCGTTTTGCTAGTTTATCAGCGACATCCAACGATCTTTGCATTTCAGGGGTTAGTTGCGTCGGTCCCGTAGGAGGAAGCTTCTTGTATTCATTAATGAGCTTGCTTTCCCCAGAAACACACTTGTACATATATTTA